CTAAGGAGCTGTGGCATTTCCAGCCAAGCCCCCTTTCCTTTGGGATGCACATCCCTGTTCCCAGCAGGGCTCTGCAACCACTGTGTCACCAGTGACAGCTTTGGTGAGTGTTAGGGAAGTATTCCATGTGCTTTTGGCTTCTTTGAGTAATTTAATACCTCAAAACATGGTTAGGACAAGTTTGGGAGCAGGTGCTGAGTGAGCTGTCCTTGGGCAGAGCTGAACAGCGCCTGGGCTGGTCCAAGCCAAGGGAGATCCTTGGCCTGGTGTTTCCAGCCTTTGCTGCTGCATCATTCTCTCTGTTTGTTTGGGTTCTTTTTTTTACTGCGGAGGGAGTCTGTCAGTTGAAGTGTGGTTTTGATGGCTGTAAATCTTCCCCTTGCAGAAGTGCTGGGTTTGGGTTTGTTTTGCCAACATGGCTCTGAGTAATGGAGGGATTTTGGTAGAGTGTTGAGCAATGTTTAGTTGACACTTTTAAAAAAAGAAAATCCACCCCTTTCCATGGCCTAGTTTATAGTAACTGAGAAAAACTGGCACGGAGAACATTTACAAGTCGAAAATTAAACAGGTTTGTTTATAGTAGCCACGATTCAGTATTGAACTGCCAGGATAAAAATAACCAGGACGCGTGGCTGCAGCATCCCAAGGATCTGCCTCTCATTTGGGAAGTGGGAAGGGCACGGCCACGGGGGTGGCACAGCCAGCCTTGAGTGGAGGTGCTGCAGTTCAGAGGCATCTGTGCTTCTCTCTCAGATGTGCACAGTGCTGACGCCACTTTTCCCTTGGAAACGTTCAATATTCCGGTGCCCGCTGGTGAAAGTCAGAGAAAGGGAGGTGCCAGTGATGGGCAAGCAAGGAGTTACTCTCTTTTTTCTTCCTTAGAGCCAGGTGAGTGGCCCCTGCTCCCTGCCTCTCTCAGCCAGGGACATCTCCCTGCAGCCCAGTGCACCTTGCTGGGGCAGAGCAGAGCCCAGTGCAGGGGTGCAGAGGCTGCACCTCGAGAGGCCATCTCACACTGTCTCTAGGAACTGGTGCTGTGGTTTCTGTGCTGCTCCCTTCTGTGCCGCGCTTCTTTCTGTTCCTTTTCTCTCGCCCTGATTTAAAGGCTGTGCTTTGTGGGTGCAGGGGCAGCTGGTGCTGCTGAGCCATGGCCTGTTTGCAGTGCTGGAGCTGCACTGCCAGCACCTCATGGAAAATCCCAGCATGGCTGGGTTGGAAGGGACCTCAGAGCCCCTCCAGTGCCCCCTGCCATGGCAGGGACACCTTCCCCTGTCCCAGGTGCTCCCAGCCCTGCCCAACCTGGCCTTGGACATTTACAGGGATGGGGCAGCCAGGGCTGCCCACCCTGCCAGGGAAGGATTTCTTCCCAATATCCCATCCATCCCATCTAGACTCACTTTCTCTTTTACTTGGAAAAATATTTGACAAGGATTATGAGAGCTTCCGTTATCTGTTTCGAAACAATTTTGATTTCTGTGGCTCCAAGGTGACTCCAGAGCTGCTAAACAGAAATATTTTCAAAAAAACAGTATACTAGGTTTCCATTTGAACTTCCTGTGATTCCAGAGGAACAACTGATGCTTTTTTTTATCCCTTGAAAAGAAAGGATGAAGTGCTGAACCTCTGAAAGCCAGGACTGGCCGTGTCAGAGCAGCCAGTCTGTGATTCCTGCCTGAAGGATCAGCACTGCTGCTGCTCAGCGTTGCTGAACAAAGGATTGGGGTGCTGGAAACGTTGGGGCTTCTCAAGCTCTTGGACAAGGAGCCAGCAGGTTCCTGGGGCTGGGGATGGTGCTGTGGGAGTTGTTCTGATCCCCAGGACTGTCACAGAACCCCAGAGTGGTTTGGGTTGGAAGGGACCTTAAAGCTCATCTTGTTCCAAGCCCTGCCACAAACCTGCTGGAGTCCCTAAAATAATTGCACTTTGCAGGTGTTGCAGAACTTGATGCAACCTCAAACATGGTTCGTTTGAGCTTGTCTTTTGTAAGTGAAGTCTTCCTTGGAGTGTTCTAGGGAGGAGAAGTCCACAGGAGGAGGGTGGTTGGACTTAAGCACTACAGAGATGCTTCACAAGTGCTGACACTTGAAAAGCAATTAACTCTTTATTTTAATTCTTAATTTTTTCAGTTCCTTGTGGGGAGCCTGGAAGAACCTTCAGTAGAGCTGCTAACACTGATGAGAGATCTTTTATGCCAAGGTAAGAGTTTTTTAGTGTTCTCATCGTATTTTAAATGACATTTCTGTGAACGTTGGGTAATTGATAAGTTTTTGCACTCGCTGTTTCAGTGCTGTGCTTGCTTATTTTGGTTCATGCTTCTCTCTCCTCACTGCCTGCATGATGAACTTCTCGATGAGCTGCTGAAACCTGAGAAACAGAAGCAGCTTGCTTTTGCATCAGGTTTGTGTCCTGGAGGGCCTCAGGCCTCCCTTGCTGGGAAATACCCTCGGGTTCTGCTCCTTCCTGCTGCTGCAGGAGGGGGAGGATGCTGCTGCTCTGGAGAGGGCACGGGCTGGCTGAGCAGGGGTGCAGCTGGGTGAGCCACGCTTCAGGCTGGGGCTTCAGCTGTGTTTGCATCCCCCTGTGGTGCTGCCAGGGGTGCTGTGCCTGCACTGCCTCGGGTACTGACACAGACACTGCTCCCAGGGCAGGGCCCTGCACTTTTCTGAGCAGCCGGGGCTGCTGCTGGGAGTGGGTGAATGTCCATTTCTGCCTCTTCCTGGGCAGTGCTGGTGGCAGCAGCAGCAGAGATGCTCCTGGTAGAGAATCCAGAGCACAGCTGGATTCTGGTGGGTCAGGTGTCCGATGGTGTAGAAGCAGAGTTTTGTGGTGATTACAGATGCAAGAACCCCCTGATTTATTACCCTGTGGGTGCTGGGGGTGGTTTGGAGGGTGCTGGAGTGGCAGAGGGGGCTGCAGCTCGGGGCAGTGCTGGGGTGGGACTCAGCTCTGTGCCCCTGCCTGTCCTGCAGGAGCTCAGGGGCTGTGCCTGGCCAGAGGAGCAGGAGCAAGGAGACACACTCAGCTCTAGCTTTAATTGTGCACCACAGCATTCTGAACTAATGAGGCCAGTTTCACAACATTACAGTTAATTTTTTCTTCACTCTTTAGTGCTCACACTCTTCTCTTGACTCTAAAGGAACACTTAACACCCATAGTCCAGTTCCATTTGGAAATGGAGCTGTGGCTTTGCAGCATGTGACTCTACTACAGAGAGCTCTGGATGGAAATGAATGCTGCTGTGTCTGACTGTATTTAGGTGGGCTTCAACAGTTGCCAAATGAAAAGTTGGCTGGGATGCAGCATAGTAATTTCTTGAGCACTCTATTCATGTTGTATAAACAGATAACATTAACATACTTGTGAAAGAGCTACAAGATAATTAAGGCATGTGGGGTTTACAGTAATAAGGCTCGTGCCTTTCAGGATCTTGGTTTCCTGTTGCACCTGAAAAAAAAAATCAGCAAATATTGTAGAGAAGAAATGAGAAGTTAGTCTTGTACTGCTCCCAGCTTAAACTTCCCCACAAGTATTTTCTACTATAAATAAGAAATGAAATAGTTCACAGCTAAATTTAACCCTTAGCTTGATTGCTTTCTGGGTTTTCTTTAGTGGAACTGACTGTGGGACTGTAGGGAAATTAAGACAAACTGGATCAATAGGTTGCATTTATGCTTTATGAAAAATGCATCAGCTTTTAATTTCTGGGGATTATCAAGGGGAAACAAATTGTTAATTGGAATTCCCCTCTCCTTCCCATTCAAAATCATGATTTTCGAAAGAAAGGAAGTGAATGTTACTTCTCAGGGAAATGGTCAAGCAGAAGAGCTTGCAGTTCCCAGAATTTAGCCAGAGCTGTTGTCAGTGTCCTGGAGTGCACAGACATCGCCTGCTCTGCTTTCAGGCAGTTTCTGGAAACCCCCTTTCAGTTTGACTTGATTTCACAATTTGCAGTTAGGCAGCTGCAGCTCACATGGGCTTCAGGAGTTGGAGAAAAGCCTCCTCCAGGTGCTCACAGTGATGGGCTGCACTGAGTGCTTGAGCCTTGCTCCCTCCCCAGGGCTTGGAGCAGGGAAGGGCAGCTTGGCTGTGTGACTGCAGAGCTCAGCACAGGCAAGGCCTTTATTTCTGTCATCCTGGCTTAAAATTAGTTTAAAGTTGTGCTTAACTGAACACAGAAATCTGTGTCTCTCTCCAGCTGCACGTGGGATTTTCAGGTTTTTGTGTAAACCGTAGCTGGGTGGCATTCAGCCCGTGGAACAGGCTGGGGGGTGGTTGGAGGGTCCCCAGCTCCCTGTGGGTCCCAGTTCAGCTCAGACTGGGGATGGGTGAGCAGCAGCACATGGGGCTCTTGACTCTCTTTCACATCTTCCCCTTGGGAGCCCAGACGACAGAAGAGAGCCTGCCCTGGTTCAGTGATGACATAAACTCCACACACGCTGCCAGGGAGTCGTCCACACTGAAAACCCAGCCCTGCTCTCCATGATAACATTCCTCTACCCAACTCCTGGGAAGACGCTTTCCTTTAGCAAGGCTGCAGCCAGGGAGCCCGTGAATCCCTGGCAGGGCTGGCTGGAGCTGCCTGTGGCTGTGGAGCCCGTGAATCCCTGGCAGGGCTGGCTGGGGGTGCCTGTGGCTGTGGAGCCCGTGAATCCCTGGCAGGGCTGGCTGGAGCTGCCCGGGCTCCGGCCTTACTTGGGAAGGAAGCGCGTCCCTGCGGAAGGGGCTCGGCGCTGAGCTCATTGTTTGCTGCAGGGACAGCCCGGCCTGGCCGCTCTGTAAACACGCTGTCAAGTGTTTATCATGCCTTTGTCATTTGCCTTATTTGTCAGGGAATCTCGAGGAGCAGCAGAGTTTGCTGCTGCTGCGTAGTGACTTGAGGGAGTTGCAAGATTTCCATAAAAAGGCAGAGTCTGTGCTGGGCGAGCAGAGAGCTCTGCCTTGGCAGCCGCGTGCTGGGCCTGACCTTTTCCAGAGAGAAAACACTGACCTAAATCCCTCCCTGCTGGGGGTGGAGGGGAGAAGGAAACCTCCTGACTTGCTTCTTTCTGATCTAATTTTCTTGTCCCGTGCTCTGGTTATGCCGTGAAATGCTGAGGAAGCAGAAGACCGGCAGTGGCAGCTCGTGGTGCCTGGCACAGCCGCTGTGTCTGTCCCCTGGTGTGTCCATCCTCTTCCTCTCTGAGCGCTGCAGGACCCAGCTGTGGCCGTTTCCTCCAACCTGGGGCTGTGTGGCCTTCTCAGCCTGAGTGTTCAGGTGGAGAATGGAGCCCAGAGCTGTCAGTGAAGGCTGTCAGAGCCTCTCCCTCTCAGGAGGATTGGGTGCAGGGCTGCTGCTGCTTTCAGGACAGTTCCCAGCTCTGTGCCTTAACTGCTGCCTTTTCTGCTGCCTTGCAGGTCGCTCTGAACAGACCACACCATGCGTGAGTACAAGCTGGTGGTGCTCGGTTCAGGAGGTGTGGGCAAGTCCGCTCTGGTGAGTCTGGGGAGAGCTCTGCAGCCCGCACTGCACACCAGCTGGCTGGTGCTTGGGGAGTTTGTGGGACTTCTGAATGTGCCAGCACTTCCACACAGCCGCTGTGGCACTGCTGAGGAGGTGTGTCATGGTTCAGGAGAGGTGATTAATTGCTGGCAATTAGCGTGTCATGTCTGCTGTGCTGTACACGCTGAATATCCGTGAGCACTGCAAGCCCGAGCAGCAGTGGCACAGCAGAAATCTGGCTGGAATCAATCAGAGCTGGGGTTCAGCCCTGCACACCTCCAAGGCTGGGGGTTTTCCATCCCCAGTGAGCAGCTGGGCTCAGAGCATCAGCCCTGAGGATCATCCACAGCCCCTGCAGGGAGGGAGGAGCAGGCTGGTGGCTCTTTGCTCTCCTGGAGTGCTTGTCTGGTTCCCAAGGAGAGCTTTACACAGCAGAGCTGATAGTAAAGCCCTGTGAGAGAGACTTGTGTCACCATTTATCACTCACCAGCCAAGCAGCTCTCTCCAGCAGAGAGGCAAAGAACTGGTCAAGTGTGAGTTATCTACAACAAGGAACTGCAGTGTTCTTGTCACAGGCCTGATAATGGCTGAGCAGCCTTTCCTGTCCTGCCTCATTGTTTATTCTGCTGGTACGAGCAGGTAATAATCCTGTAAATCACCTGCAGAACCCCAGTGAACAGAAGGAGAGATGATTCAGTTGTATATCAAATTTGGTGCACTCTTCCAGCAATCCCATCCTAATCACTACAAGGTGTTTACAAGGTGTAATTTTTTTGCAAGCTCTGTTCTCCCACAGCAATGTAAGCAATCTGTATTACTTTTTTCCACCAGCACTTCCCTGATTATCTTAATTTTCTTATGTAACACTGAAAGACTCACTAGGTGAAATGAGGCACTTAGTAGTATGCTGCAAATAAAAATTACTCAGCATCTGACATACCTGAATTTCCTTCTCTGTGACGTGAAGTCTGAGTGAGCACCATCCCTGACCTTTTGAACAGCTGAAATGCAAATACTCAAATGGTGTGGTGGACAAAAGTTAAATTCTTTTTGACAGGCTGGGTGCTAAGTCAGCATATTTGGTAATTCACATGCAGCAGTGATCCATTATGTTTATAGCAGCACACAGTAATTGCCAATTAGCAGCTAGGAGTGGATAATATTTAGCTTTCAGAGTCTGTGTACTTATTTACAAGCATTAGCAAGGAGAGGTTACAAGGTGGGATTTACAACAATATGGGGGTCACTTTAAATGTCATTCTCCCAACTGCACAGACTGACCTGTGCAACAAAGAGCCTGGTGTTCGTGTCCAGCTCTGCCTGCTCTCCCTCTGGTGCAGATGACAGCATGGGGCTGTTCCAGTGCAGATCCTCCTTGTTTAACTCCTCTGTGCCAGCACACTGCTGATGCTGCTTCTGGTAACGGTGATGGAGTAGCAGAAAACCTGCACAGCCATAAAGCCATGGTTGTTCAGCAAATTTGCTTCCTGTACAGCAGTTTTATTCCATTTCTGAGGCTAAAACTCTCCTGGAGTGGCAGTGGGTGACACAGTTTACAAAGGTGGTGCAAAGCCTTACAGAGAACTGGCAACTAAAGCTGGGCTGCACCACCCAAACAGAGAGAAACTTCTGCAAGTCTTCATCTGCACAGAACCCAAAAGCACCCCCAGATGTGCAGCTCCTCCCTTGGCCTTTCCTTTCACCCATGACAGACGAAGATGAAGCCCAGCAGAGATCAAGAGTGTCACACGTCAGTCAGGCTGCCACACTCAGGGCTGCTTCCCAGGGGGGACAGATGTGCCAGTGCTCCCGTGGGAGCCCCTGGCACAGAGCTGCCTTCTCTGGGAGCAGCTGTGCCAGCCTGGAATGCCCAGGAGCCGTCCTGAGCCCAGTCTGGGCCCTGCAGCTGCTGGGGCTGTTGCTGTGTGATCCTCCTTCATGGGGGCTGACTGCGAGGCTTTGCTGTTACACTGGGACAGCTGCTCAGTGTGCAGGAAAACACTGGAGAAGCAGAGACGTGGTTCATTACAGTGTTTGCACTGGGACAGCTGCTCAGTGTGGCAGGAGAACACTGGAGAAGCAGAGACGTGGTTCATTACAGTGTAAAATGCACTTATTTCGTGATCTAGAACCATTTGGAAACAAGATTGTTGTGGCTTCTCCAACTTTCCTCACAAATTTGCAGAATTTGTGTATAAAACTTGAGAAAGGTTCAGTTGGCAAAAGTATCTGGTGTGTTTGTTGATTTCCAAGGGACAGAATTGAGTGCTGGGATCTGAGCTCTCAGCTTCACAAACAAACACCACCTCGTTTTACAAATACCAACAAATATCAGCAACCCTCAGACCCTGCTGTGCTGTTTTACTGCAGATTTTTGGGGGTGAGAAGGAGAAAGGAGCTTTGCCTCCCAGAGCAGGAGGAAAGCTGTGTCCTGGCAGGAGGCAGCACAGAGATTTCCAAGGGACAGAATTGAGTGCTGGGATCTGAGCTCTCAGTTTCACAAACAAACACCACCTCGTTTTACAAATACCAACAAATATCAGCAACCCTCAGACCCTGCTGTGCTGTTTTACTGCAGATTTTTGGGGGTGAGAAGGAGAAAGGAGCTTTGCCTCCCAGAGCAGGAGGAAAGCTGTGTCCTGGCAGGAGGCAGCACAGATGCTGCTCGGGGATGCTCCCAGCCCAGTGTGGGGCAGGTGGGCTGGGACTGAGGAAGGGAAGGGAACCTGCCCTGAGCAGGCTGCACTGCTGCTCTGGGCTGGATTGCACTGAAATGTGCATTTCCCAGTGCACAGCTTGCCTCTGCTTCTGCTGAGGTCTCAGGGCCTCCATACTTGGTGGTTTTTATCCTTCTGAAGTCACAGGCACTGCAGTAAAGGCATTTTTGAGGGTATCCTCTTTTCTGAGACAAGCAGGCCTGACGTGCAAAAAGGTTTTGAAAGCATTCTTGAATAACGTGATTTCAACAGAAAAAAAATTTATTTTCAACATTGAAATTTTACATCTTTTTCTCTGGTCCTCACTACTGAGCAGATTTACTGTTGTTGCTTTTCCTGAAATGCTTCTTGGTGAATGTTTCTGGTTGTGTTCAGCTCACTTAGGATTTTTTTCTTCCCTTCCTCCCCAGACTGTACAGTTTGTTCAGGGAATTTTTGTTGAAAAATATGACCCAACAATAGAAGATTCATACAGAAAGGTAAAGCGCCGTGGGTTTTATTTCTTCGAAGTCTCACCGAGTGCAGAATTCCTGGGGCTGTTCTGGGAGCAGGGCTGAGCAGGAGTCCTTGCAGGGTCCCTGGGCTCTTACGTAACCCCGGGCACAGAGCTGCTTTCTTCCCTGGATGGGTGTCAAGTGAGCCATTGTTTCACGGATTAGCAGAAATGTCAGCAGCATTAAAGGCACCAAAACATACACTAAAAACTTGTGACATTTGTGCCTGTGATAATTAAATTAAATTGTGGTGTGAGCTCTGCTGTTAAATTTACTTGACTTTCCTGGAATTACCCTCGTTAGATCCAAGACATTTCTCAGAGAGTGGAAGATTTGCAAAGCCTCACTGTGAGGATGCTGAAATATTTTTCATTTTCTTCTCTTCCTTGTTCCCTTCTCTCCGGGCAGCAAAGAAAAAATTAAAGTTTTAAGGTGCTTTGATTTGCAAGAGTGGATTAAGTCGAGATATTTACAATCTCACTTAAGTGGAGATGTTTACCGCGAGCTGCTGGTTTAAGCCTTGCTAATGAAGGGAGTCCTGGAGCATGTGAGCTGACCCAAATGCCTGGCTGGGGGCGGCATTAATCCTCTGAGGGCAGTGCTGCTCAGCCCGGGGAGGGCAGGGGCTGCTGTGCTCAGAGCCCTTGGTGCCGGGGGGCAGCGGGAGCTGATCCCTCTTGCCTGTCCCGCTGTTCATTCGGAGCTTTTGTTCCCCTTTCTCCCCAGCAAGTGGAAGTAGACTGTCAGCAGTGTATGCTGGAGATCCTCGACACAGCAGGGACAGTAAGTGGCATTTCTGTACCTAATTCTGAGCAGCTCCTTCCTTGAGAGCAGCGATCCTGCCCCAGCAAAGGCAGGAATCAGCTGCAGTCATTGAATGAAGGGTTCTGTTAAATCACCTCAGCAGAGAGGGGAGTGCCCAGGGAGCTGTGCCACTGCTGGGGCACAGGGCTTGGTGCCTGCTGTGCCAGCCCCACATCAGCACTCTGCTCTGGGAGGGTTTCACAGGGTTTGAGCCGTGGCCTTTGCAAGGGGCCAGCGTACAAGGACACAGCCTGCAGGCAGTGCCAGGCGAGGGGCAGGTGCCCAGCTGTGTGGGCAGCACTCCCCAGCAGACCTGGCCCTGGCACCGCCCTGGCACTGCCCTGCTGCTGGGGAGCCTCCTGCTGTCCCTCCCAGTGTCACCTGCAGCTGGCACAGCCCTGGCCCCACACAAACCAGCCCTGGGGGCTGGCAGCACGTCCCAGGCAGCTGGTGCTCCCTGGAAGCTGGTTTTACTGGGAAAGCCCCGAAATCCTCACCAGCAGGAGCTGTGTGGGGCTGGTCAAAGCCCTGGCCCTGCTGGGGCAGAGGCAGCTCTGAGCTGGCATTGTCCAGCCTGCTCTGGCATTTCAGCCTGGTGTTATTGCTGCACTTCATCTTTTCCCCATTTTTCCAAGAAGCCCTTTATTAAGGGGAAAAAAACAGCAAAGGCAAAGAGTGTTAATGCTTTTATTCAATTTCCATGCTCCAGTGGGTTTCTGTGAGGGGTAAATATGTAAATCCATCTGCGTGGCACTGCATTCTTGTCTCCAGCACAATAGAAGTACTCCTTTGGAACTGTTCATTAGCTGCATTCTCCAGCTAATTACTCTAAAAAATATTTGCTTGCAGGAGCAATTCACAGCCATGAGGGATCTGTACATGAAGAATGGGCAGGGGTTTGCACTAGTATATTCTATAACAGCACAGTCCACGTTTAACGACCTCCAGGACCTGCGGGAACAGATCCTACGGGTTAAGGACACTGAAGATGTGAGTAGAACACCTCTGGTTTATTCCTGCAAACGCTTAAGAGGCTTTGCTCTCGGAAGCACTGCAGTGTGTTTACACACAAAGCTCCTTTCAGAGGATATCCCTGGGTATGTTGAGTGAGTTTTCAGAGCCTTGTAGTTTTCAGTGGTGTTGTTTGAGGCACAGCACCTGCTAAGGGACATCACAGACAGATTTCCCTGTGTCCTGGCAGCCACAGTCCTCTGAAATGCTGGGAGTTGATTGAAAGCAACATTGCTTAACTTCTTCTCCTTTAAACTCCTTTCCAGGATTTGCATTTTCCTCTTTCTCGGTGCTCTATTTCCCTCAGAGTTAGAGAGGAATAGTGGTAAGGATGTTCTTGGTAGCTCTGCAGCTGTCTGGCACTGGAGACTGCTCCAGATGTGGGAAGGGGAAGTTCAGAGCTGTGGCAAAATCTGTCACACAGTGGCATAAACTAAACCATCGAGGGCCTGACAGAGTCTTGGGTGGTTTTGGTTGTTTGGAGCCCTTTACAGTAAGGACAGATGAGCTGTGGGAGTTTGGTGTGTGACAGAAGGTGGGCCAGGCTCAGGCTGTGTCCCTGGTCGTGGTCCTGTGCTGTTCCCTCCTTGCTTGAACAGGCTGAGCTTTGATTTGTGCCAAAGTGCTTTTCCTTGGGGCAGGGTCAGAGTGGGTGAATCCCTGTGGCAGGAGCTGTGCTGGCCTCAGCTCTGCCCTGAGCTGGGCAGGTTCATCCCTCAGCAGACTCTGCTGCTCTCCTCTGCCTTCAGGAGCTCAGTGCATGTTAAAATGCATTCTTTGCTTTCTGTGTCACCTCTTGAAGCCAAGCTTGAGAGCCTTTTGAACGTTTGGGCTGTGTTTTGCTGAGTTAGGAAGTGTGCTCCTTTCTGTCTTTCATACCAGAGCATGTCTGAAGTCCCAGTACATCAATCATTGCACTGTCTATACCTGAAGAGTTTAAATTCCAATCTCCTACACCCAACAGTAAATTATCAAAGGTAGTTGCTCACCAAACTCCATTTTTGGATGAAGCATTAATACCTTCTGCAATAATCTTACACAGTTTCATGTCTTTCAAACCTGCACTGCTTACTCATCTCAGTATCACTTTTTGCTCTATTATTTCACATCTCCATACACTTCAGTTTTTTGCTGAACATGTTCATAACACATTTTCATGTTTCAGTATGAGACAATTTCTCTTAACTGTCTAGAAACTCTGAAGAACAGGATATTTACAGTCTGATCTGATGGAGCCTGTAGATCTGCTTTCAGATGTGCTTTTTTTGCATTTGCTTCATCTGTGCTGTGACTTCCTCATGCAATAAGGAAAATTTATGTCTCAAAAATAAAAATATGATCATTCTCTAATGGGTATGGCTGGGAGTTTTAAAGAGAAAAATTAATCTTGAGTGTAGCAGTGTCAGGAAGAGACCACAAATATTAACACTGAGGCAGATTAAAAACACTCAGTGTGTTGTAAATTACCAAGTGAATCGGGCAGTGATTTATTTTCCAGCTGGACAGGACTCGGTTTCTGCTCAGAGAATGAAATGTTTGAGGAAGTGGAGCGGGTGCACACCCTCTCAGCTGCTCTTTAGGGCTTTTCTGCTTCCCCTCGGTGTGGGGCAGCAGGAAATGGGGCTGGGCTGGGCACTCCCTGGTGTGCCCTGCTCTCACCATGGCCCAGCAGGTGACAGAGGGACAGCATGTCCCCCAGGCCCAGGGGACAGGGCTGGGCAGCCCCAGGCAGCTCCTGGCACCCTGCAGGGGCACTTGGGCTGCTAGGAGAGATCTTTGGGGTTTTGTTCCCTTGCTTAAGGTGTTACAGAGAGGTTTGGGTTGGAAGGGTCCTCAGAGCTCATCCGTGGGCAGGGACAGCTCCCAGTGCCCCAGGAGCTCCAGCCCCAGCCAGGCTGGCCTGGGACAGCTCCTCTGTTCCTTGGGGACACCTTGGAGTGCCACAGCTCTGCCAGGCACTGGAGAGGGGCAGAGCCACTTCATCATTGTCTCCTGGTTTTTACTGGGTTCATAGTTCATGCTGCATTTCCCCCCCTGCATTTCCCCCCCTGCATTTCCCCCCCTGCCTTTCCCCCCTGCATTTCCCCTCCTCAGTCTGGGAGCCACAGCAGCACAGAGCTCCCTGGATGGATCTCTCCTCCTGACGGATGGATCCACCTTGCTGATGGATCTCTCCTCCTGCTTGCTGCCCTGCAGGTTCCCATGATTCTGGTTGGCAATAAATGTGACCTGGAGGAAGAACGAGTCGTGGGCAAGGAGCAGGGGCAGAACTTAGCACGGCAGTGGTGTAACTGTGCCTTTCTAGAATCGTCTGCAAAGTCGAAAATCAACGTAAATGAGGTAAGCAGCTCCTGCCCTGTGTGCTGCCAGCACGAAGGGGGCTTTGGAGCAGCCTGGCTGTGTGAGCTGGGCTCCCAGCCTGGGGAAGGGCAGGGTCTGCCTCAAGGATGTGCTCCCTTTTCTCTGCAGAGGCAGGGGAGCAGCCCAGCTTGGTGTTTCCACAGCCTCTGCCAGGGCCATGAACAGCAGAGGGCCCTGAGCTGGGTGCCTTTCAGCTTAGATAAACTTTATCTGAGAGAATGTTTTGGCACCATAACTGCTGCCATGCCAGGCGTGGGTGATGCCCCGTTGTGCTCCGTGTCTCGTGTGGGGTTGGCTGCTGGCTTTGGAATATTTGCATTTCTGCCTGCAGACGTCTCATCACAGCCCCCAGCTTGCCAAAGCCATGCCCAGACCCAGAGCTGAGCATTTCCCCGAGTTTAACTGAGCCCCCCTTGCTCTGGGCTGCTCCTCCTGCTGCCAGGGGCCGTGGGCTGCCTGAGGGAGCTCTGCTCCACATCAGGCACCAAGGTTTTGTTCTGTGCTGGAGTTATCAGCCTGTGCCAGAGGCCAAGTTTCCAGGCACAAAGGCTGGGGTGACCCCGTGCAGCAGGGCTGGGCTGCTGCCAGCAGATAAGTGGGAGCGTTGAGGGCTGTGTGAGCAGCAGGAGCAGAGGATCCTGGCCTGGGCCCAGGCTGCTCTGGCAGCCAGCAGGGTGGCTGCAAGGGAGGGGAGCCCCTGAGGGCTGCTGGGCTGGGCTCAGCCTGGCTGCAGGGCTCGGCAGGAGCAGGGCCCCAGCAGGGATCTGTGTGTGGGGCTGCAGGTGCAGCAGGAGCAGCTCAGCCACCTGCGTGCCCAGGCAGGGTGCCACACTTCGGGGGTGCACGCTGACCCTCCTCAGGCCCTGGGGAGGGGTCCTGGGGGGCACAGCCTGCTCTGCCACCCCTCAGCCCTCCCGTGGGAATCCTGCCTTTCCCTGCTGGGGCTGCAGCCCCCGGGAGGTCACGGCAGAGGGAAGAATGTGGTTATCTGGGGGATGAGTTCCTGCTTTCCCTGTGATCCTCATGTTCTGGTTTCCTGCCAGCTGATATTTCCTAGTTGTGGAAAGTACAAAAGCTGAGGAAATCAAAGGGAGAAGCTGTGAATGAAGCAGCTCAGTGCACTGGGAGTTTGTCCTGCTGGCTCCTGGGCTGGGGAAGCATTTGCATTCCTATGGGGTTTATTCTTGCTTTCTCACTACTTCTGGAGTTTCTAAATTTGTTAAAATCTAAGTAAAGAGTGATAAATTCCTGCATGCATTTGCTCAAAACTCTCAGATAATAAGCTTTTAATCCAGAGTGAGTTGGGTGACCTTCTGGTGACCTCTGGGATGCTCTTGCAGCACGCTCACTCTTTTTAGGGATGGTGGCATTCCTGAAACCTTGTTGCAGATGGCTGTTCTCACAGTCAGTCCTAGCACCTAAATAATCTAATTTGTGAGAAAGGAAAATCTCAAGTTTCAGTTGTTACAGTGTGTTATAAACTGTTTCTTTCTCTTCTGAATTTCTTTGGAATCAACAAGAATTTGTGAGCTGTCAGCCACTCCAGGAAGGGGAAAAAATAAACAAGGACAAGGGTGGAGCCCTCTGAAGGCTGAAATATTTCTCCTCAATGCTGTGACCCAGCTCCAAGCATTTTTGCAAAGCTCATTTTGCTATAAATGGGTTGAGCCTTGCTGGGAAAACAACTGGCAGCAGCAGCAGCCCTCCCGAAGGCTCTGGGCTGCAGGAGAGCCCTGTGCTGGCCCCTGTGGCACCGTGGGGCAGGGACAGCCAGGGGACAGGGCTGCCCCTCCTGCAGGGGGACAGGCTCTGCAGCAGTGATCCTTCAGGATACTGTGCCTGTTTTAAAACCCCTTTGTTAATCCCGAGTTTTCTCCCACTTTCTGAGTTGTTGTTTCACTGCCCTGCTCTCCTGAAGGCTTTGGTGGTGATAAACTCAGTTTCCAGCTCCCTTATGTTCTGCACACTGATGGGAGCTTTGGGTTTCCTCTTCCATAAGCAGCTGCTTGAGAAACGTTTAATAAATTCAAGCAGTTTAATTGAATTTACATAACTGCAGCCACCAGGAGAGAGTTGTCAGCTCCCCAGCCTGCCTCGGTTCTGACAGCTTGTGTTTTATCACTTGGATTTTTCACCTTGTGCTTTTCACTTGCAGATCTTTTATGACCTGGTCAGACAGATAAATAGAAAAACACCAGTGGAAAAGAAGAAGCCTAAAAAGAAATCATGTCTGCTGCTTTAGGCTCCCACCACGCAGCAGCTCTGAGCCAGGTAAGAGGTGCCTGGGTCAGGGCCAGGTGAGCAGAGCTTTGCTGAGCTGCTGCCGTGGGACTGAGCAGAGCTTTGCTGAGCCTCCCCTGGCAGCTCCCCCTGGCTGTGAGAGCAGCTCGGAGCCCCCAGGGCTCACCTGGGCTTCCTTCCATCCTCTGCTGCCACTGCTGGCCCCGTGCTGGGACCTGTGGGGACAAAAACTGCTCTGGGTGGGACATGGGGTTCACTGGCACAGAAATAAAAGGCTGCCCACCCAAAAAAACCAAACCCAGCCAAAAAAGCAGAGTGAGAAATGTCCCTCCAGCATCTTGATTTGTGCTTTGTTTCACTCTCCAGATTGCAGGAATGAAGAACTGTTGCCTAAATGGAAAGTGCCAGCATTCCCAACTTCAGAACCTTATGGAAATGAGTAACATATCGGAAGAAACTTCTCCTGTTTTTTATATTCTGTGGGAAGAATTTAGATCTTACAAATGGTTTGCACACAGTCCTTGGAAAACGCAGTTGCTCTGTGTATATCTCTCGGAAATTTAAGCCAATATTCCTCCTCCTTTGCAATAGCAATTAACAGATGTCAGAATAAATATAATTGACTCTAGCATATGATTATCCCAAGGAGCATGGATGCATTTCAAATGTTAGAGATTGCTACTATAATTAAAATTCATATTGACCATTTTATTATAATTTCTCCCCATCAAGCACTAAAAATGTTCCACTGTTATATTTTATATCTATAACTATAGATATATATTATCCAAAATTTCCCTTTGAACTCACTGCAACAAATAACTTTTTGAGTCATTGACTTCATTTTATATTTAAAAGTTACGGAATATCATTATTTTCATTCTGCCATTGTATTCTAATTAAAAATGTTTGTGCATAATGCTTTGGAAAAATGGGTCTTTTATAGGAAAAAAACTGGGATAACTGATTTCTATGGCTTTAAAAGCAAAAATATATAATATACTAAACCAACTCTAATATTGCTTCTCGTGTTTTACTGTCACAGATTAAATTACAGCTTTTATGAATGATTAAATTTTAGTACATTTTCATTTTTGTTTCTGTGTTTCTGTTACCGTTTCCAGCCTTTGGGTTTGCTGCATGTTCTGAGTTCCTCTCCCATCCTGGTGGCTTTGCCCCCAGCCTGTGCTGTGTTTGATGTGCCCCTCCCCAGGGGCAGCAGACTCCCGTGTTTCCTCCTGGCCTGTTGCAGATATTTCCTTGTGCAGTGACTCTGCTGTGCACAGCTCTGGTTTCATTCCGAGCTCTGCCCTGGAGGGTGATCCTTGGTTTGGCTGGTGCTCCCTGCTCAGCTGAAGGGGATTTCTGGTTCATTTTGGGTTTGTTCCTTGCATTCTTTCATCCCTGGTGTTTATAAAGTTTATAAAGTATATAGAGCTCTGGAGAGGCCCCTGGGTGCTCCATCCTCCTCTCTGTGTGCAGCTCAGAGCCCAGGGACCCCCGGGCTGGGGGCTCCTGCCTCCCCTCGGGTGGGTGGGAGCAGAAGTGTGTTCCACAGTGGGAGGGCTCAGCAGGCCCTGTCCTGCTGCTTCAGGTGGAAATGAAGGAGGAGAATGTTCCTGCACTGCTGTGGAGCCACTGGAAACCAGGGGAGCCGTTTCTGTCAACAGCATTTCCTAAAACTCTGTTCCTGGTGGATTAGAGGCCAGTTCCTGAATGCAGCCCAGACAAGAGTGGTGCAAACATCTGGACACGACAGCATCTGCCTCCTGCCCAGCACCAGCAGGGTCACTTCTGCCTGGCTTCGAGCCACCTCTGCAGCTCCTTCTGCAGGAGCAGAGACACCGTGCTGGCAGGTTGGTCAACAAACGTAAACTTTATAAAATGTAAAAGTGTTTTAGCAATAAAGTCATTTCAGTGAAGGTGGCGATCGCTGGACGCCTCTTGTGTAAACTGGGGCAGCGAGCAGTGGCTGGGGTGGGCTGAGTGAGGGTGGGATGGGGATGGGATGGGGATGGGGATGGGATGGGGATGGATGAGGATGGGATGGGATGGGATGGGATGGGGATGAGGATGGGGATGGGGATGAGGATGAGGATGAGGATGAGGATGAGGATGAGGATGAGGATGAGGATGGGCGCTCTGAGCCGAGGCTGCCGCTAGATGGGAGTGTGGGAGAGGCGCAGGGCTGGGGGAGGCTCCGCTGCCATCGCTCCAGCTCGGGATGTTTGTGCTCCTTTTCTTACTGCATAAAAAATAAAGTTCTTCTTTAATGGATTTTAGCACAATAGCTCCGGTTCTGCCCCGGAGAGCCAGGCCAGACAGAAATGTCCTGAAGCACTTGGTAACCACCAAATGTCAGGTTAAAAACGACTTCACTGCAGAATGTCCTGAAGAAAGGGAAAAGAAAAACCTCCCAGAAGTCCCAGGCTTCTGCTTGTGACCAGAGCCAGCCGAGCACAGTAACATTTTGCCGAGAGCAAAGGGGCACATTTAAAATGTCCCTGGAGCCATCCAGCTCCTCTGAGCTGTGCCCAAATTCCCCCAAGGACAGTCCCGGCCATCTCTGCAAGAGTGCTGCTCTCCCTCCAGCCTGGGCTTGTTTCTCTGTCATTTTCAGGGCTTTCCAAAGGTTATTTGAAGTCGTGTTTTCCCCTCCTGTGGGTTGGATGGAATGATCCCACACGTCCTGCCCCACTGGGAGGTTTTAATTGCAGGTTGTGATGCTGGACCAGCCAGGGGCAGGGAGACCCTCCCAGGCTGCTGAAATCCAGGTTTGTTCTGCTGCCTCTGAGCTCATTCCTGCCACGGCAGTGGCTGACGTGGGAGGTCCTGCAGCCACCAGAGAAACTCGAAAATTCACGTTAAACTCACCATTAACCTTTGCAACATAACCAAAACTAATGAATGTTTTCTTCATTTTGCCGGGACCAGGCACTGAGGAATGAAATTGGATTTTCCAGAGGCCCAGGTGCCACTTGGTGAACAACCAGCATGTGCCAGCCCTCCTGGCAGGGGCTGAGCATCCTTCCCACCCCCGGCAGGGGCTGGGCTCTGGCACTGGTTCCTGCAGCAGCTGGTCAGTGCTCTGGCTCTCAGCCACAGCTCTGGCTCTGCTCCTGGAAGGAAACTCCCCAAATTTGGAGACAAACCCGGTGCAGGAGGAGGGAGGGGAGCAGGAGTGGGGGGCTCTGGGCTCGGCAGCCCCCAGGCAGGGCTGAGTGCCAGTGCTGCAGCCTGCCAGCAGCCCTGGCACAGCTCTGCCCCCGGGGCTGCTCCTGCCTGGGCTGGGCTCTCCCGGTGCCAGGGAAACGGGGAACTCTCTGTGCTGTCCCGGGACCGAAGCAGCCCTTTGTCCTCCCTCGGCAGGAGGCTGCACACAGGGAAGGGAGCTGCTCCTTCCTGCTGTGGGGACACCCCACCACCCTCGTTCTGGGTGCCCTGCCCCATCTCGGGCGGGATGCTCTCCAGAGGAAGCTGAAATCATTTGTCAGGGATTTTGGAGAAGGGGGGAGCAGAGCTGGGAGCCCTGAGCCGGAGCTGGAGCCCTGGGCTGGAGCCCTGGGGACTCGGGGGGCTCAGAGGAGCCCGTGGCCCCCCAGGCTCCAGCCAAGGTCGAACCCCCCCGGTGTTTTCCTGCTGCCCCGGGGGGCTGGCACGGCGGCAGCCGGGCACAAGGAGCCCTTGTGCAGGGAGGATGCTCCGGGTGCCCAGCCCGAGCCACCAACAAAGCAGGGATGGAGCGGGGGCGGCTCCGGGGCTGCGGACACTGCGGGGCTCTGCTGGGGCTGCCCGGCTCCCAGCTCTGATTTCCACCCAGTTTTCCAGCCCAGAAACCCGGGATGCCCCCGGCTCTCCTCCAACCCACCCCAAGGAGAGGGCAGCCCCCAGTCCTGTGCCCCATGGACCTGCCTTTTCCCCGCAGGTGTTTCACACAGAATTCCCGTTCCCTGCAGCCCGTTTTGGGTGAGGATGGGGAGCTGAGTGAGAGGGAGCAGTGCTGCAGCTCTGCTGCCCCAAATCCTGGGTAAACTGAGCCCAGCTCCCTCGCACCTTGGCTCTCCCTGCCCGTGGTTCCAGGGGGCTGTGACATTCTGGGGGCACCCAGCATCCTGCACCCCATCCTCATCCAGCCCTGGAAATGAGAAGTGCCGAGCTGCTCTGTCAGTTTGGCTTAAATTCACCGGAGAATCATTTGATTTGAAGCAGTTTATGTTATTAAATATGACTGCACGGGAGCCCCTGCAGGATAATCCTGTATGATAAATGATGTTTGAAATGAGGGAGCCCCGGCACCGGCTCCAGCCCCAGATTAATGTGCAGGAGCAGGGGAAGCACAGGGCAGGGCTGGATGTGCCAGAGCTGCAGCTGCAGCACCTCGGGAGCCTCCCAGCCACAGCAGGGATGGAGCATCCAGCCTGGCAGAGCAGGAATGGAGCATGCAGCCCTGGCAGAGCTGCAGAGCAGGAATGGGGCATGCAGCCTGGCAGAGCAGGAATGGGGCATGCAGCCTGGCAGAGCTGCAGAGCCCCTCAAAGCACATGGCCCTGGGGACAGGGGGCAGTGGTGGCCTTGGGGCAGCTGGATTTGATCTCAGAGGGTTTTCCCAGCCTCAGTGATCCTGTGAGGAGCCAGCACTTCCACACCTGAGCTTTCTGCCCCGTCCCCTGCACCTGGGTCAGCTCCCTCTGGTATCACCCAGGCAGAGGCACCAAAATCTGGCAGCAAACCCCCACGGTGAGCAGGAGCTGGTTGTGCTCTGAACTCCTGTTAGAAACGTGAAGGGATTTCCAGGGAGCAGGGAAAGCATCCATCTGCCCCTGTCCCCATGGTTTCAGGAGTGCTGAGCGTGCCCAGGAGATGGATCCAAGCTGAAGGGCTCAGGCAGGGGACGTGGCTCCCTCAAATCCTCAGTGCAGGGCTGCTGGCTGAGCCCAGCTCCATCCCAAAGCGCAGCCCCGGGCTCAGGGCCAGGCTGTGCTCTGTCAGGAGCAGCTGGCACAGCTGGAGGCAGCTCCCAGCAGTGGGAACAGGACCTGGCTTTGCTGCCTGCCCAGCTCAGGGCGCTTCCCCACCCTGCAGAGGCTGATCACAGCCAACAGGCAGCTCCTGGCCCTTTCCTCCTGAAACAATCAGTGTGCAGGGCTCGACTGAGAGGGATTTGGTGTGAGATAAGCTTCCCAGAGCGGGGCTGAAGTAATAATTGAATAAGTGTGAGGTGCTGAATGAGACACGGTGAGTCAGAGCAGAGTCAGAGCAAGAGCTGCTCTGGGGCAGGAGGAAAAGGCTCCTGGTGCCTCCCCTGGTGGGACTGAGCCCCTCGAGCTGCCCGAGGCAGATTTTGGGGGTAAAGGCCAGGGATGGAGCTCTCTGGGGGCTGTGCAGGGTGCAGAGCTCCCCAGGTCCTGCTGCTGTGGGTGCTTGGCTCAGGGCTGGGCTCCTGGAGCACCTCGGGGTTGGGACTGTGCCCCATCTGTGCCAGGGCAGAGCAGGGAGGGAGGGACAACACCCAGCGTGTGGAGCTGGCCCAGGACCATCCCCTGCCAGACATGGGTTTATTTGCCACTGTCTGCTGTGGGTTGTAGGCTCCTGACAGACTCGGGGCTGTGCTGTTGCCACCTCGTGTCCCTTCTGCTGGATTTCCCACCTCTCCCTTTAATTTTTTACCAGTTTGTTTGGTTCTGCTCCCAGCAGAGGCAGCTCCACGGGAAGGAGAAGAAATCGAGCGTTTATTTTTAGAGAGTGCCAAAAGAGTTCAACCCAAGGCAAACACAATTACTTCAGGTTGTGCACAAGCTCCGAGAAATCATCTCCAAGGGAAATGCCCCAAAGGCACAGCACGAGGCACTGGGGCTGAGAGCACACGGAGCTGCTGGAGCAGCACATCCCACCCCAGAGCAAGTGCCTGCCCGGGAAAGGGGGTGGAATTGGGGTCTCTCCAACCCCACCACGGGTTCCCTGGGTGCTGAGGGTGGGAGGTGATCTCTGGACCCCCATCCCACCCCTGCCCTGGCCCGGGAGCCCGGCGGGTGCTGCTGCTCCTGGCAAGGCTCCGTCCCCATCCTCTGGGATGTTCTGGTGCTCCCGGGAG